TACATGAACAACAATACAAACAGCAATGATTATTTTTATCTCAAAATTACTTTATTTTTTATCCCGAAAGTTTTTAATAGGTGCAATTGCATGTTACGGCTGATAAATGAAATTATTAATTGTTTAGCTTATCGTTCTTACAATATAGTATTTCTAGCATGATCAGTTATATGAACAAATTTAAACTTTTAAGATGATAAATAATTTTATAAACGAATGAGTACAAATAAAATACGAAAAATAATAATTTATTGTTTATATAAAATATAATTTGAATATAAAAGACGAAAAAAAAAAATGTAATAAAGAGAATTTGTTCTTTGACCATTTTTTATCAAATTGTTAATGATTAAGAAAATATGTTAACAACATTTTCGGCGAAATTTCCCTCGATGAAATGGACGATTCGAGAAAAGGATTCGGTGAAATATTCCTTCGGCGAAATGTCCATTCGACGAAATCTCATTCGGTGAAATGTCCATTCGACGAAATCCCATTCGGCGAAATATCCCTTCGGCGAAACGTACCGTAACCACATTATAACGGATAATACATTTTAAAATTAATTGCTTTTTATTAATGTTGTATCATGCGAATAAATTATTATACAGTAGTATATGTAGGGATCAGATAATTTATTTCAATCATTATTTTTATCTTATATATACAGGTTAGTTATATATACTGTTTAGTTCATATCATGAATTCAAACCTCATCATTATTAATTAAATTTGGTTTCCACACCAGTATCACGATGCATATATGATGCTTGTTCATTTATGTTTGTGGGTTTAGGCTTTATTAATAGAAAAGTTTCTTCAACAATCAACAGTGAAAACAATGAAACAATATACAATAAATTTATTTATTTCTTTATTTTTTTTATTTAAATTTTTATTTCTTAGATAAATAAACTAAGGCAAAATAGAATACAACATTTAATCTAATAATAATTTATTTTACTAAATTCAATTAATTAATATATTTGCTAAGCTCAATCAATTAAAAAATAGTTTAACTTAAAGTCTAAATTATCTGCGAAACATAAATTAGTCTTTTTCTAAATTGACTACATATCCGTACCCTAAATGTGCGTTGCATGGTTGAAGTGTAAGTCTACTAATATATGCAGATCGCATAGACGATGTCCTCCGCTCCGCTTCGGATAACTAATGTTATATTTATTATAAATTTTATCTTTATTATCTTATATATTCATTATTAATTAAATTTGAAAAAATTTCTAATTTTACATATATATATAATAATGTCTATAAATATTATTAAAAAATCATTTTTTAATATTTTGTTTTTATTATTATTCTTTAATTCCTCCACCTTCTCACGCATTCTATCTGCTTCTACCGGTCATACTATATGATAATACAATAATAATGTTTATAAATAAATTATTTTAACCTTTAAATCTCTACCTTTTTTATATATATGTTATAAATTTCAGATCGAATTTTATATATTTTATATATAATTTTACAATCGAATTTTATATAACTTTACGTTATACTGTATATTGTTTTGGCCGATGCTTTCTTTAATTTGTTCTTGCCAAAATTTGTTTGGCCATATTTTTTTTGACTTTTCATGAGCCAAATCTTGTCTTGCCAATACTTTTTCATGTTTGACCAATATTATTTTGGCTTTTTTCAAACAAAACCTAGTTTGGCAGGGTCGAATCCTTGTTGAGCTAATGTATTGACTTTTCTTGGAAAATTTGTTTGGCTATATTTTCGTGGGCAAATATATTGTTTGGCCTATATTTCTTTTTAAGTTTGGCCGGTATCACTTCGACAAAATCTGTTTAACTATGGTGTTAACATATATTCACGTTGAATTATTTTTGAACTATGCTCATTATTTAAGGTTCTTGCTTGGTCATTATCAAATTTAAACCAATTTTCAATAAAAATATTTTTTTTAAACTATTATTATAACCATATGTTGATATGATGGTCTATTTTTATATAAAATATCTCTCCATCTGAGATAAAATTATTTCAAATTTTAAAATAATATTTAAAATTAAAAGTTTAAAATATGAATTAATTTATAAATATCCATATCAATATTTTTCATTGATTATTAATGAATTATATGTATAAGTATAAGTGCTAGGCAGAAAACCTTGTCACTGAAATTAAAAGAAAAAAAAAGGGAAAAGAAAAATTCAATAGAAAAAAAAGAGATTTTTTTTTGAGCTTATTTATATTTAAATTTATATATAACATCAAATAAACGTAATGTTCTCTCACTTTTTTTGAATTTCCTTTGTTTTACTAAAAAATCTTACAATGATTAAGGGTTGTGAATATTTTGAAATAATAATACATGTTATTAATAGACATGTCGCAATTGTATTACGATCCCTTAAATAATAATAATGAAATTTAAGAATTTTTAAAGAGACAACATTTATTAACATATTTGGAATTTTATTTTATTGTCTGCTTTTTATTAAAGAATTACAAGATTAAGGTGATCAACAATACGATACGGTTAATATATTGTGAATAAACTTTCGTGCCAACAATACGTTTAAGATAGAATTATACAGGTTTGAAAATGTTTGATATCATATTCATGTAAATGTAATTTAGTAGTTAATAATTACATTGTCGTTTAAGGTCACACGCGTTAATACATTAATATAATAACGTACACGAAATTTTTAAAAAATTGACGTACTGTATGTTATTTTTAACGTTACTTATTCATATCAATTTTAAAGAATTTTAATTAATACCAAAATTTAAAATTTTAAAGCTCAAAGTTCACCTATATCATAACTACTAGGGATGGGACGATTCACTCGGTTCGAAATCGGTTCGTCGGTTTCTAATTCGGTCCCACATCGGCTCCAACTCTAATAAATAAAAGTTATGAGCTACGTGCGTCGAATTTAGGATAAAGGTAGAGCATGTAATAATGATCAAAATTTTGATCAGCTTCAAACGATAGTTTGTACGACTGATGGCTCAACATAAGTCGGTTCTTGAAATCGGTTCGAATTAGGTTTCGGCTTTTTCATGGTGAAAATTGATTTTAAACCCGGGAGATCCGGAATCTTTTAAATTTAGGATCGGTTCCAGAATCGACTCGAGTCGAACTTGATTACATCCCTAGTTCAGTTTCGAACCGATACTATTGAAAAGCCTAATTGAGCAGAGTCAAACCGAAAAACCGGTTCGGTTCCATGATCAGTTTTTGTCACTTCGGTTCAGATCCGAGTCAGTCAGTATACGTCAAAATTTATTTAAACCGATGTAACGAGCCGACTCAAGTCACTCAACCCGAACTTTTTCCATCCCTAATCATTGTAACTCCGTTAGAACTTTAAAAACCTCAAATCGGTAACTAAGGTTGAATATGAGTCGCGATTAATGTTTAATTTATGAAATATTTCTTCTTAATCACAGTTCTTAATCACAGTGATCTTCTTTGAACGAAATCTAGTATATCAAAATTCAAAAGAGGAAAAAAAAGGAAAAAATGAAATAGAAGTAAATATAAAATAAATCTAATAATTTGACAAATAACAATCTGAAAATCTGTCTTCCTTTTTTAAATTCTTTAGACAGTTCATAGCCGAAGAAATTCATTTAGCAGGTAGATTAGTTATTTCACCATCATATCGTATTACATTAAAAAGTGTTACCAGAACATCAACTTACAATGTTTTTTTTTTAATTTTCTCCCTTTGACCCGTTCATGATCCTCAAATTTTTGACTGATTTGCAAAAATAGTTCTTGTATATTAATATGTTCAGTTTAAGAAAAATCATGAGTTCTGAATTTTACTTTCCTGATTTTCTTATTTTTCTATAGCTTTTCTAGAGCGCTTTTTCTCAATAGCTCCACAGTTGGAAAATACACGCTTGTTAACCATGACTTAAAGAATAACTTTCCGTCTTTCTCATTACGGTTGCGAAAAAAGAAGTTAGTGCTGGCAGACATTTTAGAAGTAATAGGTTGTTGGTGCGATTTGTTGATGTTGATCATGAGAAATTTGTTAACAATCAGAATTTAAAGAATCACAATAAATAAGACTAATACTTCTAAAACATTCAATTGATCAAAAATCTCTTGTAAAATATTAACTATATTAATAATCTATTACTAATTTAATAATTTCATCAATATAATAATATATTTGATCAAATCTATATTTGTGTTCAATACAATTTTTTTTGATTTTTCATCATTTTCATAATATTCATAATTTAATTAATATTCATAATTTTATTTTTTGATTTCGTATTTTTTTTTAATTTTTTAATTTTTAATTCTTATAATTCTAATTTCTTTTAATTTTGTGAAGACTTGATAATTGAGAAATCTTCATGAATTTGAATTTTCTCTTGAAGTTCTTGTATTTCTTGATTTAACTGCCCTACTTCTTGACAAAGCTTTGGAATTTATGGCCTCTTTTTAATTCATGCCATTCTGATAGATTTATCACAGTATTTCTGACCGGACTTGACTTTGCCCCTGATTTCATATCTTATTTTCTAGTTATTAAAATAGAGAAAATTAATTTCTTTGATAGTTGTTAAAAATAGGTTGAAATTAATTTTCTCCCATTTTAATTTTTATTTTTTAATTCTTATTTCTTAACTCTATATTTTTTAATTCTAATTTCTCTTAATTTTCTTATTTTATTTTCTAGTTACTAAAGTAGAGAAAATTAATTTCTTTGATAGTTGTTAAAAATAGGTTGAAATTAATTCATATTTTTTATTCTAATTTCTTAACTCTATATTTTTTAATTCTAATTTCTCTTAATTTTCTTATCTTATTATCTAGTTACTAAAATAGAGAAAATTAATTTCTTTGATAGTTGTTAAAAATAGGTTGAAATTAATTTTATTTTTTAATTCTAATTTCTTAATTCTTATTTTTAATTCTAGTTGTTAAAAATAGGTTTATTCTCCTATTTTAATTTTTAATTTTTATTTTTTAATTTAATTTTTTTCTCATAATAATATTTTTTAATATAAGGTAAAATATTTTCACATTTCTTGCAGCATAATCATTTCAAGGCACTGATGACGTCAGAAAAGATGATCATTTTTGACATGCTCTACGATTTAAATGTCTTTAAAGAACAATGTCCATATTTGAGATTTTAAATTTCAATTTTTGATCTTTTGCGCCAGGTTCTTCAAACGACCCATACCCTTTAAGGTAAATCTTCCGTGATCATCAACTCTTCTAATATAAGGTCGAATAAAGATGATGATTCGAAACATACGATTTAATGCTGCTCTCAAACGATAATGCGGACTTTTAAATTTGTGACTTTGAAAAATTATATTTTCAAACAAGTCGTAATGCAAATTTTGCATCATCGACTTTATCGCATTCTATTGCTTCGTCTTTTCTTATATTATGTTTGTCTACACTGCCCTTCATACAATTTTTGGGCGAATTTGATTAAGGTCGATTTTATTACTCTTTGTTTAGAGTTTTTGATTTTTATGTTTTTATGTAAAAAAAGAAAAATGTAATTTGTGTAATTTGAATTAAGAAAGAAATTTTAATAGTTTTTTGAGACGAAAATGAATTTAGAATTTATTTTATTGTGTATTTGATTTTTTTGTAAAAAAAAAAAGTTTTTTTTTTGAGGTTTTACTTGGAATTTTTTAAAGACTTTTTATAAGAAATTACATTCATAATTCGGCAATAATTTTCTTAATAATCATAAAAACGCGTAATCATTGAATTGATTAAAAAGAACAAAAAAGAAAAACAAGCAACATTGCGTAATCGATTTTTCGTATTTAAATGCGTCACTGTCATTTCGGGATAAAAATTTACGCTTGATTTTATGACAAAGGATAATATATTCGGCTATGTTATAAAAATCGGTAAAGAAATCTGAGTGGTTAATTTTTTTTTTTTTGTCCTGTGTAATTTGCGTAAATGTTCGCTTAAAACGGTTTAGAAATTCCAAATAAAGGAACAAAAACTAAAAACTTATTAATTTTCTAAATATATCGTTCTTTGTAGTCTTTGTAAAAGAAGCATATGACAAATTCTTTTATTTTTGATTAGTACGATTTTGAACAATATATATACTAATTAAGTTAACATTTATATCGGATCACTCTTTTGAAATGTAACACCGATTTTTATTTGTTCAAAATTAATGATTGAATGAACCCTTTCTGATTTTGAAATTCCGGATAGAAATCCTGATCTGTTAGAAACAAAAGAAAAAAAAATTGACTAGTATAAAAACAGATGCTTAATTTTATTTGTGTGACTTTAAAAGCAAGGGTATCTGATCTACATAAAAATCATAAAAAACGTACGTGATATATACATTATCACTTTAGTTATTTTATGTTATCACAAATTTAATTTTGTTATCACAAATATAATAATATCCCATTTTTAACGTTTTTGTTTATTCGATGACTTGAACACAAAATTTTTTACCTTGATTTTCAATGGATACAAAAATAGTAAAGATAGTTACAGTATATTTATTTGTATTTAAAAAAAAAAAAATTATACTATTTTGAGATTTATTAAAGCGCAAACGCATTTGAAATGGTAACATCTATCAAATCCCTTATCTGATGACTGCATGATCTCTACATATAGCAAATAGTGTATGCAGGTTAAAAATATTGGCGTCGTTGACATGTTACTAATTAGTAACGTCATTGAAAAATCTGCACTTTTGATTCAAGCTGACTTCATTGTATGTAGATCTGAAAACTTTAGCTTTTAACTATAACGACAGGTCTTCTAAAATTCTTTTTTTTTTTTTTAAAAAAAAAAAAATTATTCTTTTTGTAAGATAAAAAGAAATAATTTATCTAAATTCGTTCGTATTGACCATAAGATACTTTAATTAGGCTAGTATATTTTTTCTCAAAAAACAAGGGATGATATAAGGACCCCGAAATATACATAAAAAAAGGTCTGACCAATATTAAGAAAACGCCGATATGCATTAGAGTTTACGATTGTAACATAAATTATCATTTGAAACTAAACAAAATTTAGCGATAAAAAAGATTTTTCGTACAATTCATTTCATAAAAATATTTTATAATAGATACATAAAAATAGTTGTTGTAACCTATTCTTTGTTCTTTCACAAAAATTTTAATTTTCTAACAAATCACATATAGTATAATTTCGACGATTCTACGATTCTATTGTCCTTTTTGTATAATTTGTTTTGGATACCTAATAAAACAAACTTATAGAATCTATTACTTAAATCTTCAAGGAGGAATTTGTATCAAAAGTCCAGTCTGCATTAGGATTATTTTTGGCAGAATTCATAAAGATATTTATTTCGGTATAAATTTATTTTATTACTAGAAGAGTGGTAGATTTATTTCGGTATAAATAAAAAATCGTTTAATTTTTTTGTTATTGATTTTACTTTTCCCTTAATAGTGACGCAGCAAAAATGCTAATGTTAACGCAGATCGGTTTCGAATGCAGGTTCGATCGCGTGATTTTCATATTAACTATGTGACAGATAGAGGCGTGACAAATAACTTTAAAATTGTTTCCAGGATAAATTGTAAAAATGGATAACAGGGACTTGAATTTTAAATTTTAGTTTTAGTTATAGTTTAAATTTTAGTTATTAGTATTGAAATCATCAAGAAAGGCAGTAATATTGTTTCTTTTCTTATAACATTTATAAATTTATTAGTTTATTAGCATTTATTTTATACATTTATTGTATTACATTTATTATTGTATATTTAAATGTATATTTAAATAAAATCTACATTTTATTTCATATAAACTTTTATTAATAAAAATTTACATTCTATTATATATTATTATATAATACAAACTGATAGTAATAACTTGATATCTTTTACCAAAATTCATACCTATTTTCTCTATAAAAATTCTGGAAAAAACTCTGATAAATGATCATTTTTCTAGTTTTTATTCTGAAAAAACTTAGACATATGATTATTTTTCTGAAAAATTTTTTATAGGATTTATATTATATAATAGAATATAACCTATTTTTACAAAATGAAATACATAATCACTAGTAGATATTTAAATAATAATAATATTTAATAAATCTGTTTTTATTACCAACTTTTTTATTCTATTTGTTATTTATTACTAGAATTAATTACATCTCAAACAATTTGATAATTTTTGGAATTATACAAAATGCATTAGCAGTATAATAATTTGTATATTTTTAGTTATTCATTAATTTTATAAAATTATTTTTACCAGCAAATATCTATTTATAAAACTAATTCAATTTTCATGAAATTTAAAATATAATTTATTATTAATTAAACTATTAGAATTTTATATTTATTTTACTGTAACTGCTTTAGTTAAAGAGTTAAAATTTTATTATTAAAAAAAAAAACTTTATTTTACATAATTATAAATGCAAATTAGTAATTTTTATATTTATTCAAAAAATTACAATATAAAGAATTTTTTTTAAAAAAAACTTATATAAATAAAAATAAAATTTGATTTAATATAATTAAAAATAAAGTGGTTTAAACTTTTATGGGCACTTTGCAGTAAAAAGGGATGAAACTACTAAAAAAATTCAAATTTTCTTTTATATGTATGCCAAAAATATTCTAAATGCTATAATTTGTTCAAATTTTATATTAATTCATTTTTTATTTTTTTTAGTAGTTTCGTTCCTTTCTACTGCAAAGTGCCCATATATAGTAAAATTATAATATAAGAAAATTAGAAAAATTAGTAAAATTATCAGTAAATCTGAAATTTTGTCTGAAGGTCTTTATTAAAAGTAAGTAAGGTTTTTAAATACATTAGATTTTTAGTATATAATCTTCCTTTATATAAAAATATTTTTTTTACAACTAAAGCATCTATTTTTACTTAACCTATATATTATTTTTATTAATATAAAATTTAAAAAATTGATATTTGGTATATATTTTGCTCTAGTTAAAAAATCAATTTTTTTTTTACATTAAAATTAAATATTTATATATAATTTTATTATTAACAATTAAATATAAAGATACTTTAAAATAGGTTTTTATATTTTTAATTTTAAAATAAATATAAAATTGTTAATAAAAATAACTAATTTTATTAATTTTTAGGTGGTTGTTTGGTTGGTCACTTTTGTTAATCTACTGTATATTTAAATAAGATTAATATTAACCAGATTTTTCATAGGGATGAGTTTTAACAATACCAATTATAAATAATAATAAACTTATAAATTAAAAATATTATATAAATAATAATTTTAATTAAATATTCTACAATATTATAAAATAAACTATAAACTATATTATTATGATTATTATTATAAAAAAAAAGGAAAAGAAAAAATAAAACAAATTAAGAAAAAATGAAATAGTTAATACAATATTAGCATTGGAAAATTTGGCTTTCATTTAAATATTTTTAAACTTTTTATTATATTAGAAATAAATAATATTCAGTTAAAGTGACTTTCACTAAACAAATAGAATAAAAAAAATAAAAACATTTTTATAATGGATACAGTCAAATCTCTATGTACTAATGAGGTTGTTTTAGAGAAAAAGTATCAGTACATTGAATTATCAGTATACAATTACTGTATATCATATTGTAAATCACGTCTATTATTAGATTAGCGGACAGTCAGACCTTGATACTGATGCTTCTAATTGGAAACAATATCAATATATTACGAGTAATATAATGCAAACAAATACCACCTGATTAATGGACTTAAATAATTAAATTTTGGTAAAATAAACTGCAAAAGAATTCAAATTAAATCTTTTACTTAGACTAACTTTATAGTACTGGCCTGAATTAATACTAGTATAGTTATATATTATTATAAAGGGACCAAGAAAAAGTATTGGTATATGTTACATCATGAAATTATATACAATATCAATACAATGCGATTTTTTATTATACGTGAAATGGAACAATGAAAATTTATCAGTACAGGAAATTATCGGTACACTGGGGATTGGTACATAGAGGTTTGACTGTAATAATTTTAAAGTTGGAATTGTCTAATAATTGAGAGTTTAACAAAAATGGTTATTAAAAATAAAATAAAATAATGTTGCAAATAATTTAAAAATAGCAATTGGCTGCTCTAATTGGACATATTTTAAAGTAAAATTACAATAAGAATGATGGTAATTATCATTAGCATTAATATATAAGATTGCTAGGCAAACTAAATAATTTAGCAAACTGTTAAAATGTTAAAAAGAAAAAACTTGACAAAATAATAATTCATATTATCACCATTTTCAGAAATATGTATAGATCTAAATTACTCCACTAAAAAAACAGATTTTCAAAATTTTGCAAAACTTAGCGATTTTTCTGAATAATTATATGGAAAAAGAACAATTATTAAAAAAATTGAAGCGAAACTCAAAAAACTTTAAATACTTACATAAGTTTCCTTATAAGTAAAGATTTAATGTTTACGTAAAAATAATAATTTTTTACAAGAAAACTCACTTAAATATCTTAAATTTTTTGAATTTTGCTTTAATTTCCTTAATAACTACCTTTTTTCCATGTAAATATTCAAAAAAATTGCAAAATTTTGTTTTTTTAATAGGGTGGCTTGGATTACATAT